TTCCTTCTTGAGCAGGCTTTTGTGGTGAAGGGGACAACTGAACTCTTCTGTTCTGTGTGGATGTCAGTCCTTATGAATCACTAACCATCTGATGCTGATGCACATGTAGCCTTAGCACCTGCTCTAAACCCCTCAGTGAAGACCTGCCTCTCTTTGGTGTCAGGCATAAGACATAAGGCCGTACAGGAATCGTTCTCACCCGCCGTTGCCGGGTACACAGGTATGGACAGACAAAGCTCCCGTGTTGGTTAGTTGATGTGTTTATTGTGCTAATGAATTCGTCAGAATCATGTCATAGGCTATGATTTTACTTGCTATTAACTATCCTATAGGTCAGAAGAATGGCCTACATGAGGCTAAAGAATGAAATCAAGACACCTCTAGACTTAGTCAGAGTGTCACAGAGCAGGTCTGTGTGCATGGCAAGACCCTGGAGTATTTCCTGTGTCACATTCCAGTGACTGGTCCCACTGCTCTCCTTTTGTCCCCCTGCCGACCCCACGCAGTCTGGCTCCTGCCCCCACCATTTTACTGAAATTCCTAACTTCTTACATGGCCATCTTGAAGCCAGTTCAAGTTTTCTATAAGAGCGAAAAAACTTGTTTTCTTTCTTGCTGATTGTTATTAACTGTGTTTAAACAAAAAATAGTCTTTTAACTACTGAGTTGTAACATTATTATGCTATACATGAGGTTCCCTATGTGTGTGGATGCATTTCTGAGTTCCCTACTATGTCCCACAGTATACTTGTCTATTTCTAAGCCAACACTAACCTGGATCAAGAAGAGTTACTTCTTAATTAACTTTCAAAATCGGATACCACTAGGAAACACTCAGTGTTCTTCCTCATCTTTGAGGCCATTTTCAGGCCTATAATGTTTCATATGAATTGTTAAGGGATTGTATTAGGTCCCTGAAAAGGCTCCCAGGGGATTCAGGTTGAAAATACGTTGACGTTATATATCAACTTTGGAGAGACTGACACTTTTCTATTAGGCTTCAAAGACACAGTACCTACTACCTTACTCATTAGATATGTTCCCAGCTATTTTATGGTTTTGTCACTTTTGCAAATGAGACATCTTCTTCCATTTCTAATTATCACTGTCTCCTACAGCATATACAAGCTGTTGTATTTGTATATATTGAGCATGTATCCAGCCACTTGCAATGGATCACCTATTACCATTTTAATACTCTTGGTGGTCCTCTGTGAGCCTGTCACCTGTCTCCTGGGAAAAGAATCATGTTGTCTGCCAATGGAAATTTTTAAATGCCATCTTTGGAAATATCTATGATTATTATAATATTCTCATTTTAGTATGACATCTAGAATTTACAGATCCATGTTGACTTTCACGGATACACCAGGCATTTCCCCCTTGTAATGGGAGCACCTTTAGCATTCATTATTTTGGAGGGATGTTGGCTGTTGACTTTCAAAATTGACTTTAGTGGGCCTAGAGAGTTTTCTTCTATTCTCACTTTATTTAGAATTTTTACTAAGAAAGTTCACCACATTACACTCTATTCATTTGTTGAGGTAATAATTTTGATTAAAGCCTTTGAAGTGGAGGTGGGTACCTACTTCCGGAATCCACCCCATACATTTCACTTTTTAAGGCAAGTCTGCACTCTGGCCTTCGTCTAATGGGAACGCAGAAGAAATGTCACTATATAGACACACACATTTACACGCTACTGTTGATGGGACCCTACGGCTCAGGGGTCTGGGACATAACGACTTCCCTGAGAACATTAAGACTTATTTCCCCAGGTCACTCTCATCCTCTCACTAGTGGACGGTGGGATTTTCCAGAGGCTGGCTGACATGTCATATTGCAACAGAGTGAAGACTGAAGCAAATCTGTGAATGCACCTGTCCTCTACTGAGCCAGTCCTTAAGAGACTTGGGAAGATCCAAACAGTACTCCTCTACCCACTGAGAACAGACATTTGAATATACCCCAAAGAAGTAAGAGAACTTGAAGAGATAGTAAAACAGGATTGAGGAACTGCTGCACACTGCATATGCAATGAAAAGCACTACTTGAAATATGTCAGTCAGGGTCCTTTGAAAGCACATTGCTCAGAGACAAGGAAAACGGGCAATCCTTTCGATTAGCTGTGTGCATTGTTCTGAGTCTCCGGTCACCCCTTCCCCCAGAACACACACCTATCATTCTCTCACTATCTTTTTACTTGCAGTGGATTAAAAAATAGTGGCTTCCCATTGTGACATCTGGGTGCAGTGCAGAGGCCAACACGGGAGACGTGCTGCACGGTGCCCTGAGGTAGGAGGTTTGGGGCAGTGGTAGTGCCCCCAGGGGTGTAGGCGATGAAGGGTGCACTGTCTGGGGAGACCTGAGAAATGACAGTGAAAGGGAGATAAGTCCGCTGCTTTCAATTCTCACCCAGATCAGTTTTCTCAACAGAATCACTGATAACACAGTCCTCCGTGATGGGCATCCTAAACCATTGTTGCCTTCACCTGGAGCCTACTGCTCCCAGGTGCCTGTGCAGGAGACGCCCTGACCTCAAGGGTCACTGGGGACCCAGGCTTCTCTCGCGGGGCAGCTTCAGTACCTCGTGGGGCCTTAAGGCTCACAGGGTCCCTCTTGCAGGGGCAGACACGGGGGAAAAGTCAGAGCCTTGGAGACATTCAAAGGTCAGTCAGTGGTGTCCAGGGGTTGGGGGCAGGAAGGGAGAATAGGCGGAGCACAGGGAACTGGAGGGCAGAAAAGCTCTGCTCTGTGATGGTGGGCGCACATCATTATACACTTCACAGAACACACAGAATGCACCACGCACAGAAGAACCCTACTGTTAACTGTGGACCAAGGACAATAATGATGTGGCATGAGAGGTTCATCAGTTGTGACAGATGTCCCACTCTGATGGGGGTGTCGATGGGGGAAGGTGGTTTCCGTTCGTGAGTAGGACGCATGTGGAAACTTGGCACTTGCCGTTCAATTTCTTCATGAACCTTCCTGCTCTAAAAAAATTGTCGATTAAAGAAAAGGGGAAAATGTAAAAAATATTCCCTTCAAAGGATTAAAACATTTATAGAAGCAAATTGATGAATTAAATGTTTAAGATAATCTCCTGAAAAAATTATTGGAACTGAGAAGAATTCCCCAGGATAGCTGAACACGTGTTCAGCACAGAACAGTCGGCTCCTTTCCTGTCACCGAACCGTTCCATCACACGACATCGTGGGAGAAATGGGACTGTGGCAACGAGTATGGCACCAGGAACATCACACTGAAATACACCTTCAGAAACATGCGTAGTTTCAGGAAAAATCATGAAACTTTACCTGCAGAGGCTCACGCCTGTTCTCCTAGGAAATATTTAAAATTTCACAGCCATCGGCTATACTTTAAGAAGTCTACAATTTCACTGCTGCCCCACCAGAACCTTAAGAGGACAGTTTGTGCTCTGTTTTGAGTTCTGAAGTACCGTTGTGATGGGTCAGAATTACAAGTTTGCATTCGTTGATTAGCGGGAGGAGGCCTGACTTGGGGCCTAGACTAGTGGATTCAAGGAGAGTTCGGGAACTGTCTCTCTCTCTCTCTTTTTTTTTTTTTTACATTTTATATTTTAGAGAGGGGAAAGGAGGGGGAAAGAGAGGGAGAGAAACATCAATGTGTGGTTTCCCTCACACACCCCAAGTGAGGGAGCTGACCCACAACCCAGGCATGTGCCCTGACTGGGAATCGAGCCAGCGACCCTGTGGTTCACAGCCCAGCACTCACTCTAAGCCACCCCAGCCAGGGCCCTGCTCTGCAGCTTTCTATGTGCGGGCTCTTCAGCTGGGGCAGACCCTCTTCACCTCACTTTCCCTATTTGTAAAACGAGGGTGGTATTGTAGTGCTGACCTCAGAGGACTTGTGTCAAGGTCAATGGATCAATAAGGGAACGATGTTCCCCACAGTGTCAGGGGGGAAATGTCAGCTGTCACACTTCCATCCTAAAGGAACCGATGTAAACACTAAGTACAACAGAATGAATCGCCTCATTCCCAAAGTCAAATACCGGACTGAGTCTAACTGGCTCTGCCAACAAGAGTGTGTGTCTGTCCCGAGTGCTAACAGAGAGTGTTTCTGAATTTGGCTCTGGTTGCACTGAGATTTCTATCCTCTGAGATAAGACCTTTACTTATCAGTCACTTGATTTCCTGTTTCATGATCGACATCCAAGTCACTGTTAGTGTGATTTTAAAACCAGATATTGGAACTAAGGGTAGAGGAGAATGGTGGGTGGGGATGGGCGTTACTTACCCCAGGGACCCAGGGTCTCTGGACTCCTGTCCTCAGCAGGACGTGCAGGCCCACATGTCCCTCAGGGCTCAGGATGACATCCCAGGAATAGCCTAGGGATTTCGTCTTCACAGGTAAACACACATGATGGGATGAAAACTTCTTAGGGACAGGGACATCGCTGACCTAGCAATGTTGCATCACCTTCAAGGCTATTCATGTTTAAGTTAATTAAAGATGTTTATTGTGTTCTGGGCAACAAACGACCAGCTATAACTCTTGTAAGGTGAGGTCAATGTTCTCCAACTGCCTGGAAATAAGAAAAGGGAAGCTTCTGTGATCTTGTTCACTGGCGCACGTCATCAGTTTGACTGAAACTCAGAAGGAATTGAAAGAAGAAGAAGGATATTCTGTGGTCACAGGCACTGGGCCAGATGGGATCTTTACTGAGCCCGATCAGTGTGAGTGGGTCACAGCGAGGATGTGAGGCCTGCGAGGACACCAGAGCCTGAGCCAGGGGCGGGCATCAGGGAGGGCAGTCACATGCCAGAAGCAGCACCGGTGTTGGACTGCGGGCGGTGAAGGACAGAGTGCCTTTCATTCTCAATGCGTCGCCCTTGAGTTCTGTAAAGAATGATTGTGTGCCGGTGTGTGTGCACACACGTGTGTTCAAGCATTGCGTGTGTGATGTGAGCCTGATTCAAGCCTCCATTTTATTCCATAACTGAAACACAACTCTAGGTTTGCTGATGCTTTATTGAAATGCAAAGGTATGTGAGGTTTCAACAATTGTCTTGTAGTGTGTAGATCAAGAGAGGAAGAAATAAAGCTATGCTGTGGTGTCCATCCATGAACTCTCAGTGTCAGACCATGCTCTGTATCCAGGGAAAAAGTTAATACCGAGCACACCAGAAGCTGTCATATATTGCATGCTGGAAAAGAAAAGCAGAGACATCACTTACATCTCAATTGGTCGTGGCATGGAACATCCTGAAAACAAACATGCTTTCTCATTGTTTTCCTGGCCTTGTCCAGAGCCATGGACAGGAAGCTGGAGCTGGACGAAAACTTAGAATTATCTCTTTGGTTCTCTGGCTCAAGACACGGTCACTGAGGCTGAAGAAGTGCTGGTGTTTCCCCTTCTTGTCCCCACCTGCACTCTTGATGATTTTCTCTGTAAGCCTCCTCTTCTTCGAAATAACATAACCAAAAAACATGCTGTGTTGTTGCTTGTCAGCAGCTCAGCCCAAACATGAGGGAATGTGAAGCTCTGAGTCCCTGCACCTTAGCAGCCCCGTGCATCCCCATGGCCCCTGTGGGCAACAAAACTGTGCAGATGTGCATTCCTCATGATCTATCTAAAGGAGGTTTTAAAGAATATTCACGTCATCCAGAATTGAATAGACTGATAATTTAAATATGATTTCATTATGGTAAATACGTATAACATAAATGCTACCACTTTCACCAGTAAACGTACAGCTAATCGTGTGAAGAACTTTCAGTCGGCCGTGCAACCAACCTCCAGAACCTTTTGCCGCGCTGACGGGTAGCTGCAGGGCCTCACCCTCTGCCAAGTCCCTCCCGCCCTCCCCAGAACCAGTGCTCGACCTCTGGTTCTAAGTGTTTGGCTATTCTACAAAATGTGTTATTTGTCTTGTTGTGACTGGCTTATTTTCTTCTCTCATATTTCCTCAATGGTCGTCCATGCTGTACCCTGTTTAGGAATTTCTTAGCGATGTACACTTTCATCTTTGTGCTGTGGCAGTATTCCGAGTAGTTACCCTGGACTAGTTTAGTAAATGGTATATTAGGGCAGAGAATGAGTATGAGAAAAAACTAAACAGTATCTGTTATAAATGGAAAGATTACCTCATGTTTACTACTGATTTTTGTCTCCAACTCTCCCACCGCCCACGGCTGAATCAGAGCCATGGTTCCCACTTGTCTCTGTGGGAGCTTCAATTCAAAGTCAAGAAATCTACTCACTTACACTACCAAGCCTTGGTTTCCTGACAGTGCACTGAAGGTTGTGTTAATAAGATGTAAGGAATCTCCTTGAAACAGAACTTTCTGGACTCTTGAAAATTCTTTAAAATGTCTTACTACTTGTTTGATGAATAAGAGGATTTTTTCTGCTTCCTCCTACAACTGATGGCCTCTTCAGAGCCAGAGGATCTTCAGCTGAGGGGTAGGTACACTTTTCCCAAGACTCTTTCCCTCTTTGCATTTTCCCTTCACCCCTCCCTAACCAGCACCAGCACCGCGGTAGCTCCCTTGATGTCATCCTTTTCCTGCTGACCTGCAATTACATTCACTGAGATGCAAGCATGGCCAACACATGCTTCAAAAGCATTAGTGATGCACTTAGAGCCTGCGTGTCTCTGCCCATTGGCTTAAAAACAGTTAAAGAGAAGCCAAAATTACCTGCAGCACATTGGCCTGCTCCAGAGTTTCTTCACTCTGATCGAGAAAGCACTCCTTCAGATCTTTCATGGCATTTTCACTCTCTTCACCTGCTATGAAGTCTTTAAGAGCTTCGATGTACTCACTCACGGACACATTAGTATCATAGGTGATATCGATCGCATGCTCCAAAGTATCGCAGCCAGACCCTGGGATGAAAGGATGCAGAGGCAGCCTCAGTCACCGTCTGTGAGAACCGTGAGCAGCATGACTATGATGATGTCATCGTACATCCCTGCAGGGACATGAGCTCAGAGAGGCTGTGCAGAGGGTCTGAACCCCAGATCGAGGAGAGTAAACTCAGAATCTGGAATTCCCATTTAGCCCTAAAACATCGGCCTCCTCGTCCCCCTCTGCCCCACAGACAGCGAAGACACCAGAGGACTGACATGGCCTGGATGAGCAGCTGGGGAGCAGCAGGAATGGCCCATTCACCCTGACAAGGACCCTCATCCACAGCCTGCGCCCTGTCAGCGCTCACCCGCATAGCAGCACAGGGGCAGGGCAGCCAGCATGAGGACCGTCACCAGCTTCATGGTGCAGGCAGCTGCTGTGGGCTGATCACCGCGGCGTGGCAGGCAAGAAGGAGCTCTCGTTGGAAGTGAGTGGCCAGAACGCCGCCTTTTATTCTCCTGGGGGCCTCCCTAATCCCTCCCAATCTTGATGACTGGATGAGTCACTGGAGAAACCTGGGCCTGGGCCAGGAAAGAATGTGGTCAATCGCCCAGACCCGCCTTCCTTGGGCTTTGTACTGCCCGAGGGACAGAGCTTTGAAAACCCTCAAACACTAAAGACCTCTTCTTCTTTCCCCAATTCTTCATCCCCTCCTCTGCTTTTGCCAAATTTTTCACCTACTGTTCCTCCTCCTCCACCACCCTCCACTTCTCCTCTTCTCCCTTCACCCCTGTTACTCCTCCTCTCTTAAATTCTACCTCCCCAAGAAGAAGAAGGTGAAGAAGGCGAGGAGGAAGAGAAGCAGCTCTATATCCAGTGTCTCCTGTTCCTGATTTCCACCAAATACCTGGAGTGGGAGCAATACCACGTGCCACCTCTGGAGGAGAGACTTTCCTCACCCAAACACTGCGAGGCAGGTGCCTTTGGTTGGGAAAGAGAAATCATTTCTCTCCTTCTTTGAAGGTTGTTTTTACAAAGACGCTTCCACTTAGTTAACCCAACTTCATAAAATTAGTCATACACTTCGAATTGAGTTTTGCTTAGGTTTTGTTAGTGCGTTCAGGTTTTTGTACCTCTTATTCAAAGGTTGATATGAGAAGTAGCATTAAACATTACAGGTGCTTGGGGAAGGGGGCTGGGCAGTGCTGAGTGGTAAGATGGTTGTAATCTGGAGACGTGAAGGTGTAGATCTGACCCTTGGAATCAACCCGTAATCAGGAATTGTTCTTGGGGAAGCCACAGTGCTGGTCATCCCGAGCTCCCTTTTCCTGAGTTCTGAAGGGGGCATACGTGAGACCATGCCTGGTTTTGCAAGGATGGCTGACAGTTTATGTCAAGAGACTCTCACAAGGCTTAGAGCAGAGGAATTATGACTAAATTGGAGGTTTCATTTTTCATTTGTCCATCCACTATACTTCCATCTATCCACCCTTTCATTTACCCATCCTGCCCCCAACAACCATGAAGCTCCTAAGATGGGCCCTGTGCTGTGTGTCACAGATTCAGTGGTAGGAACAAGTCGGGAGGGCCCTGTACTGGTACAGTTTATCTCTGACCGGAAGGAACAAGCAGACTGCGATTGAGTAGGAGATGAAGGGAAAGTGGATGTGTCAAGAACAGAAAAACGACCACTAGGGCAGCATGGGGCAGGGAGGTCCAGGCTTTTGCACCAGGACTTTTCAGTTGCCTGAGGGAATGGTGAAACCCAGGCAACCTTCTGGGAAAAGTTGTCTAGGCAGAAGGAACAGCAAGTACACAGAGCCTGAGTGCACGTGGTACCTGGCAAGCTGAGAGGCACAGGCAACATGTGCCTCTTGGCTTCAGTGAGGTACCTAACAGCCTTCCAGAACAGAAAGACCAATCACCTCAGCAGGGACGGTCTGAAGGAACAAGGGAAACCAAGTTGATCTAGAATAAAGAAAAAAGAAGAGGGTGCAAGAGCCTGAGAGATGAAGCAATGGTAAGCTTCCCTGTGGATGCATCATTCTCTGCCTGGATTATCTGAGACTAATTCCTTCCCATCGTTCACCTGATCTGAAGCTGCCAAGAACAATGTTGATCTAGGAAGAAGCTAGAGATGGAAAGAAGGTGTGTTCTTACATGTGTACTTTCCCCCCTTGACCATTGTTGGCTATCTTCATATCAAAGGCAAGGGGAAGACTATCGTAAATAAATGAGGGCCTGCACAGGCCTCGGTAAGGGCTCTGCCCAATGCCCTGTTGGGTACGGACCTGCCTTATTGTCTTCTGGGACACCGGACCCTGCACAGGTTTCATCCTCAGCAAAAGCAATCTCAAGTCATGGACAACAAAGCGTGTATTTCTCCATCTCTGAGGTTCTCCGTAGCTCATGCGGACCATCCAAGGAGGTCAAAGGAGTATAACTCCGCTCACAAAGACACATTTGAAAGAAAGCATTCCTAAGCAGAAATAGGACAAACCTAGTGGTTTGAATGCTGGTTTGGAGGCCTGATGTGTTCTGCTCACAAAGGTACTTTGATTCAGGTTCCAAATTAAATACAGAAATTGGAGGAGGGAAGTAACCTTCGGCTTCCATGCTGGGATGGCAGTTACTGATCACCTGCTGTGAAAAACTAGGCAGTAGAGGAGAATTGCTCAGATTTCAGCCCGGATATGTTGAGTCATGGGTGACAGATACATGTGTGGTAACTGAGAACTGTACAGGCCTGTCCTCAGGCTCAAACAAGACCTGAGTTTACTTACACTAATATTTTGGTCATCAGAAGCCTTGCCATGCTAATAAATGTAGTAACATTGAGTGAAAGCTATTTTTTCTCAGGTACTGATTCAAGCATCAGTACCAAGCCCATGTAAGATCTCTGGAGATTAGATGATAACTGATCTTTTGTTTTTTGTAAGTTGGTCCTAGAAATCGGCCCCACAGTATTTGGGTACAAGACACTTTAAACTTTTCTTTTTCACTCATTCTGTAATGCTGATTCGGCCCCCTAAAGTCAGGGCTGACATGACCCTCCAGGAAGGACCCGGACGTGACCCTCTTCAACCTTGTGACTGTGCCGATCTCTAGAAGTTGGGTGGAGTCATGTTTTTCAAGGCCAGCGACTTCACGACAGGCACTGGCCTTGGAGACGTCTTCATGGCAGCAACACGTTTACTGATCAGAGTACCCTTGCCGTTCCCAGACCAGGCACCTCCCATGTCTTGGGTAAAGCCTGGCGTGGAGTGGTCTCAGTGGGTCTGTTCATTCAGTAGGAATAGTTCTAGGGTGGCCGTGAGGCCGGAGAGAGTTCCAGTGGGTAAGTCCTCCAAACAGGGCAGGGCACAGAGCAGGGGCTGCCTGCATGTCAGCTACCAGTGGTTAATTTATCACCTTGAGGACGCTCATCTGAACACCCTTGGAGGACTCCTCGGACCACAAGAGACCCCTGAAACTCACTGCTAATTTACATTGTCTAAGAGATCTAGAGATAATCTTGTTCAGTAAGCAGGAAAAAGGCCAACGTTGAAAATAAGCCCTCTATTTCAATCCGTTCTTGCTCGATTCATGCCAGATTCCTTTTTGAAAGAGTTTTATTGAGGTGCGATTTACACATAATTTCAGTGTTGAACAGATTCTACATACTGTTGGCCTATGAATCTCCTCCATATCTAGCTCCTACTGGTGTTACTTTTTTTCCAGATTTAGTAAAACATCAATGGCGAATGATTACACAGCACTTACTCAATGTAGGGCACTGTGACCACTGTTTTTACTCTTCAACAAAAACCCATTGACCAGAGTGATGAAGACATGTATTGGCCACACTGAGGGCACTTGCGGAGGCAGAAGAGGTCATAGGATTGATGCAAGGCCAGGGCAACAGCACAAAGCAGGACTCGCCTGAGTTAACTGAGATGTGTGGCTTCCAACCCAGGCGGTGAGCATCTCGTTTCTCCCCAGCTTTACCCAACAGTATAAAGAGGCCAGCAACGTGATCCAGGGCACAGGGCTTGTGGGTGACAGAGCTGCTAAAGGACGCGGTGTTCTGGCATCAGGGACTCTGGGGGACTCCATCCCGAGGAGTTCTCTGATTCACCACGGATGAAACAGTGAGTCTTTCCTGACACCAGATGCTTTCAAGGAAAAGGGAAGGCAATTCCCTCTAGAGGAGAATGCCCGAATCGTCTCTGAGTGGCCTTTATTGAGAACGATATGCTCAGGGGTATACAGCATGCATGCCAACCTTATAAATCAATGCCTAGCAGCTATACTTACAGAAAACAGAATTCAAGGATAACAATTGAAGGAACACAGAGATTTGCCTCAGGTCAGGATCTGTAAGACATGCTGACCTCAGATGGTCTTTATAGTACTGCTTCTGAATTCACAAATTCACTCTTTCTTTTTGGAGGGTAAACATCTGGGTATTCCTTATCAGGACAATGCAAAGCAGAGCAAGCTTCAGTGAATACAAAGCATCATTTAGGCCAGATTTCCCACCGGAACCCTCTGAGTTAGCATCGGATCATGTCTGCCCCCCAAGCATTGCCAGTTTTCTGGTCGAGACTGGCAGGCCCTCTTGCACAGCCCGGCTCATGCGGGGCTGCAATTCCCGACACCACACAAAGTGGTCCCCAACAAGAGACAGCTCTCAACACTATTGACAGCCTTTGTCTGACCCCTATGGGCCTTCACTTTACGACTCAGGTGGACTCTGGTGGCTTGACTTGCACAACTGCCTTGTGGACTCCAGGAAGGTCTCCGGGCAAGCCCAACAGTTTTCTGCTTGAGGTCTTTGCTCCACGTGAAGTCTTCTCCTCCACTGTCCTTGCCCGAGTCCTTTTAGAATAAACTCCTCATATATTCTCGATGCCACATCAACGTCAGCCTGTGTCTTCTGTCATATTGTGCCCTTGACTCTCTGGGGAGCTCCATTCCAAGACACCATGGCTGTCTGTGCACCTTTCTCCTACAGATGGCACCTGACCCCGTGGCTCTTCCCTCCCTGTGAAGCTCTTGGGGGGCATGACTCGAGCTCTTGTGGTTTTTGTGTGACAAACGTGAAAAGTAGGGGTCTCATTAGTAGTTGTACAACTGATTTTTGGGACAGAAATTTGAGATTACACAAGGAATTTATGATTACATAAACTGTTTTATCATCAGTGAATTTAGAAAGAGACACTAATTTAAAAGAAAAACTCCAATGAAGGCAAGACCCCCACCCAAGTCTAACGCTAGGCACCACACGGACATCCTTCAGCTAACACCATGTTCCTCATGTTCCTGCAGAGAGCTGTAGGGTCAGCCACCACAGGCAGGACCAGGCGAGGAGAGGAAGAAGTTGGGGCCTTGAGTCCAGGGACTGGGCCACCTCAGCCCTAAGGTTCCCAAGAAGTAAACATTCACTTGATCCAATCTAACCCGGATCCATCTAATCGCCCGGGACTCGGAGCC